AGGTCCGTTGCCGCCTCAAACACCTCCGGCGTTGACGGTGGTTGTATGTCCACCAGATGGTCCGGGGACCGAGGAGGGTTCGGACTTGACGAAACCCTGGGTGGAAGCGAGGCAGAGGCGGTCTGCCCCGAGCCACTCGCACATGCCGCTGGCCCCTTAGCTTTCAAGGGAGGTGATCGGTCCCTCACCGGCCTCTCTTCTTTACCAGCACTGGAGACGGACAGCAGTGCTGAACTGAGGCCGACGCCCTATGTCCCGAGCAGTGGCAGTGCTGGTGAGCTTTAGAGTCTTTAGCAGAGCCCATTTCGCGTGCCGTTGGCGCCGGAGTCCTATACACCGAAGAGGATGTGCTTGGTGCCGGGTCGTTAGGTCCCGGGTCAGATTGCAGTCTCAATGCTGCCTCCATGAGCAGGAGTTTGAGTCTCTGCTCTCTGTCCTTATGGGTTCTTGGGCGGAAACCCTTGCAAATGCGGCACTTGTCCTCTTGGTGAGTCTCACCAAGGCACCGCAAGCAAGACGAGTGAGGATCACTCTTGGGCATAAACTTTCCACAGGACTCACAGAGTTTAAATCCTGGAAACCCAGGCATACCCCTGAAGGGAAACGAACTATTTAACAAACCACTAGTAACTATATGAAAAAAGCATAACTATAGAGAACAACTATTGAACTATGAACAAAAGACACTGTTAAGGCACTTGCTGTAAGAGTGAACAAAGTTCCAGCTTGCCGTCCTGGGCGGTAAGAAGGAACTGAGGGGGTGGGGTGTCAGTGGGACCCTATATTGGGCGCCATGAAGGCGCCTATACACGACTTGTACTATATACCCATGACTAAATCTTGAGGGGAAAGGGGCAGCTTGGAGGTGTCGCAGGTGCTCGGGAGGTAAGTGGGGGCAGGGCTAGCAGGCTCCCTACCTGGCTCCACGCCTCCCTGGAAGCGGCAACATCCCCCTCCCTCAGCTCCTAGGCAGAGGCGCGGCCAGGCAGCTCTGCACACTGCCTTTGCCCTGAGTGCAGGCTCCGCAGCTCCCATTGGCCAGGAACTGTGGCTAATGAGAGCTGTGGGGGCAGTGCCTGCAGGCAAAGGAAAGTCCCAGAAAGTCAGGTGACTTCCATGACCTCCCTGAAAAAATCGCAGCCTTAGACATGAGGAAAGAATCTCACAGAGACTGATGCCCTAGACTCCCTCTTGAGCAGAACTTTCAACTCTTTCTGTTGATGGTGGTAGCAAACAGATCTATTTCTGGAAAACCTAATGTGCGGAATGTATGCTTGAGAATCAGGTTGTTGATTTTCTACTTGTGGTCCTGGCAGAAGTATCTGCTCGAACTATTGGCTATGGTGTTCTACAGACCTGTTAAGCATGAGGCAAAATGAAAATCTGATGAGCTATGAACCAGTTCCATAGTTATATTGCTTCTTCCCAAAGGGTGACTCTTGTATCATCAAGGAGAAGCATACAGTACACATTGACTCTTGACCATAGCAAGGAAACTGCTGCAGATAACTCTGACTGCCCTGAGTTCCAGGAGGTTGATATGGAGAATGGACTCTTGGCAGTCCATTTGCCTTGTATGGTATACAATCAAAAGCTTGTGCAGAATCCTTACTATTCTTAGCACCAAGATTGTGACTGGGTGGTACCAAGGCCGGTTTCAGGACTGAGTGATGCTAGTACCACAGGACTCAAATTCCTGAAGCCTTAGCTGAGGGGTTCTCGGTATTGGCAGAGCTTGGAGTCTCTTTCTGGGACAGGAGCTCTCCAAAACAGCATGTCACTGTGGTGACCTAGGTTTCTTGGCACTGACTTCTTAAAAGGATCTGGAGTTTCTCTTTCTGCAAGTCTTTCTCTCACATGACTATCTGGGGGTGGCTGCACAGGTCAATGGGGCACTGTGCTCCTTGGAAGACTGCTGTACAGGGCGGGGCGTATCAGGGCCTGGGTGTGACGCAGATTGACCGGAGCACTAATGAGGAGCCTAAGATTAATCTCCCTGTTTTTTCTGGACCTACTCTTAAACCCTGAACAAATTTTACACTTTGATGGCACATGGGCATCCCCTAAGTAGTGGATACAGTGAGAATGACCATTGCTAACTGGAACAGAATCCCAGCAAGTGAGGCAATGTTTAGATCCAGAGGATCTAGGCATAACTTGAGAATAAAATCTTTCGAAGAAGGAAAGGCCCCTGGCGGATTGTGGGGAGGGAAATAATGAGTCGCTCAAAAAAGTCCCCTCAAAAACATTACTCTAACTAGTAAAAACTAAAAAGGGGACTAATACCTAAACAACAAAGTAAAACCTTGAAGCTATTCCCTAAGGAAAAAAAAAAAACTAAGTATGAAGTAGCCAGTGCAAGATATTTTAAGGATCCGGGGACTAGAGCCTGGGTCTGCGGAGCCTGGGACAGCTGATGTTCCCACAGTGCCACCAGCAGGACATTCAGAGCCAGAGTCAGGGAGCACTGTGATTAGGAGGCGCCCCAGGAAGTACTGCCCAAGAAACCCAGACTGAAAGTACCTTGAAGCCCTCTGATTGGCCAAGCACTGTATTTAACCTTGGAGGGTGCCCCAGGAAGTTGTCTGGACAACAGGACAGACTTTGGACCTGCTACAACTCCAGACCTCACCTCATCTCCTGATCTCTGGCCTCTGATCCCTGCCAGACTCTGCTCCTGCCTCCTGATTCTATCCTGGTATGGTACTACCTCTGATCTAGTCTCCGACCACAGTCTGACTTTGACCCTGACTCGCGCTCATTGAACCTGGCTCCAGCGATTATTCTGACCCCTGCTCACTGACTACCATTCTGATGTGTAGACCCCCAGCCCAGTTATGACTGCTAGGCCAGGCTACCTATGCTCCAGCTTCCCTACAGATGCTCAGTCTCAAACGCAAGGTGGTTGAGAAGGAAACGAAGGTGGTTTGTTCAACACTGCTCTATATACCTTTGGTTCAGGGTACAAGGATAGCTAGGGTGCACGTGTGGACCAAATGGGCAATGCTACAAAAAGTGTCTGATCAAAGGGGCAGTTGAAATGGAGTATGCATAGGACATTACACGCATAGGGCATGTCCCTCAGAATATTTTTGCTATTTTGATTGAGTGTGGTAATAATCTTTTAAATACCAATCAAGGCAGAGTAGTTATAGTTTTTAAAGGCTGCACTTTTATCCTAATATAACAGGATGTGCTGAGTCAGCTCCTGACTTGGCACCCAATCACTCAAATCCTCACCAATATAGATTAAGTAGGACCTAACTGAAAGACCATTTATCTTCCATCATTCTTATTGGAGCTATGAACGCTTCTACCATGAAAATACTGAGCATGTGTCGTGCTGAAGGCAACATATTAACTAAATGTAGTTCATAGACCATCCCAGATTGGGCTACTTGTCAAAGTCTAAATCATAATGGTGAAAATTATCCACTCTGCCTGCACGAAGCTCAACTGCAGTCAAGAGGTGAGTTGCAGTGATGCAGTCGCACGTACATAATCTTTAGCCACTAATCTCTGACACAAGTTAGATCTCCACAGGAGAAGCTTTCTCTGACACTACTGCATACAGTCCCTTAGGATTGTCACAACAGTGAAGGATCAGGTGTAGTAGAGCTTCGCTCCTTCTCCCTCTCCATCCTGTCCACAGAATGCCCCAACATGCTTCCTATCACCTATTATGACCATAGAAGGAAAGATGGGGTACAGCTTGTGTAGAAGCACTTCCACCACCTTTCCTCCCAATGGAAAGTTCCCTTGAAGAAGGACAATTTTCTGCTGGCCATCTCTGGTCACTTTAAGGCTTACATGATACAAAGTGGCCTTAGTAGACTGGCGAATCCAAGCCAAGAAGCCTTTATTACTTAGAAGGGGGATAAAGTAAAAGTAACTTTTTTCTTGTATGAGTGAGATAGCATAGGCATTACTTTAATCTTGTCTTTCTTAGAGACATGTGCAACTGAAAGACATCAGTGCTCTGTAAATGTTGAAACACTATTCAGTTATTTTACCATTTGCTAGGAATCTTTCAATAATTAGTTTCTTGTAAATTGACAAAGTTGTAGCATATGAATCAATGGCCCTTGAAATAGTTCAAATAGTTCACACTAAATAGTTCAAATCAGTCTTAGAGGATTGGGGATGTCTGACTTTTCCTGCTGGCATTCTTAAGCAGATCACTAAGCCAAAGTGACATAGAACACAGTAGAAAATGTACTGGCTGTGACTGCTGGTTTTAATCTCCTGGGTGAATTCTTGGTACATTTTTGGAGAGTATAGGATATTTCTCTTCTCTTCACATTCTAAGACAGGCTCAAACCTGAAAATAACTTTACAGCAGTCATTATTACAAATGTCAATATTTTTCAACAGTTACCACTATCTAAAAAACCCCACAGTTTATCATATTCTTAACATAGGAAGTAACTGTGTCAGATAAATGTCTACATTTAACAGAACAATGTAACGAAGACTACTGTTAACTAATGCTAAAAATACAAGCTCTTCAGTCTTAACTACAGTGTAACAATCAAACCTAAAAAGTAAAATATAATACAGAAAATAAGAACAAACTATTAAACCCAAAAAGCTATGTGCTATGTGGATAACTCCCCAAACAATTTATAAAAGTAACTAGTAGTCCCTCTTTTGACACTGGGGGATGGTGGGGAGTGGGACGAACAGAAAACTGGAAGCCTGGACACAGCTTATGTTCCCTCACCCCAGTCATATAACTACTATCTAAAGTAGAGAATTAGACAGAAATTACTAGAGGTTTAAAAAAAACTCTTAGGCATATACCAGAAGTAAAACAGTCTAAAATGGAGATTAATACATTACAATAGTATACCAAGAAAGTCTCTGACAATAAGTATTCCTTTTCTAACAATAAAAAAAAAGGCCAGATTTTTTAACAGGTTTTGAACAGGAATATAACTGTTTCCATAGCTTTTGTCTAAAAGAGAACAGGAAAATAAAAAAATTTATGAGCATCATACCTGCCAGAACCATATGATCTGCTTGCTATTTCTTGTATAATGACGATAAACGGTGTTCCTTTGCCAATCTGCTAAATCAACCTCTTGCATGCCACAGAGCATAACCTGGAAAATAAACAACCATTTAACTACTTCTCCATCATATCATTATAGATGCACTGTACTAACTTTTAATTATTATGTACTCTAGATGAAAGACATCTGCACAATGAAGAGGAGTCAAAAAGTTTGGTCTGAACACAGAACCAAGAACTCCTGCATTCTAATCCAACTCTTCTCTACTCTTTACTTACCTCATAGGGCACCATGAAGCTTTATTAGTTCTTGTTTGTTAAGTGCTCTGAAGAGTACTCTCACCCGGGGCCCAATCCTGTGAGGTGTTCAGCACACAATACTATCACTAAATTCAACGGAAGTCTATGGTGCTCAGGTATGTTAGCAACAAGAAGGAGGTCAGGGAAAGTGTGGAACTCTTACTGAATGGGGGAGGCAACCTAGTGACAGATGATGTGGAAAAAGCTGAAGTACTCAATGCTTTTTTTGCCTCAGTCTTCACAGACAAGGTCAGCTCCCAGACTGCTGCACTGGACAGCACAGTATGGGGAGGAGGTGAGCAGCCCTCAGTGGTGAAAGAACAGGTTAAGGACTATTTAGAAAAGCTGGACATGGTCTATGGCGCTGGATCTAATGCATCTGAGGGCGCTGAGGGAGTTGGCTGATGTGATTGCAGAGCCATTGGCCATTATCTTTGAAAACTTGTGATGATCGGGGGAGGTCCCGGACGATGGGAAAAAAGCAAATATAGTGCCCATCTCTTAAAAATGGAAGAAGGAGAATCCGGGGAAACTACAGACTGGTCAGCATCAGCTCAGTCCCTGAAAAAATCATGGAACAGGTCCTCAAGGAATCTGTTTTGAAGCACTTGGAGAAGAGGAAGGTGATCAGGAACAGTCAACATGGATTCACCAAGAGCAAGTCATGCCTGACCAACCTGACTGCCTTCTATGATAAGATAACTGGCTCTATGGATATGGGGAAAGCGGTGGACGTGATGTATCTTGTTTGATACGGTCTCCCATAGTATTCTTGCCAGCAAGTTAAAAAAGTATGGATTGGTTGAATGGACTATAATGTGGATAGAAAGCTGGCTAGATTGTCAGGATCAACAGGTAGGGAACAACGGCTCCATGTCCAGATGGCAGCCAATATCAAGCGGAGTGCCCCAGTGGTCTGTCCTGGGGCTGGTTTTGTTCAACATCTTCATTAATGATCTGAATGATGGGCTGGATTGTACCCTCAGCAAGTTCACAGATGACACTAAGCTAGGGGAAGAGGTATATATGCGGAAGGGTAGGGATAGGGTCCAGAGTGACCTAAACAAATTGGAGGATTGGGCTAAAAGAGATCTGATGAGGTTCAACAAGAACAAATGCAGAGTCCAGCACTTAGGACAGAAGAATCCCATGCACTCCTAGAGGCTGGGGACCGACTGGCTAAGTGGCAGTTCTGGGGATTACAGTGGACAAGAAACTGGATATGAGTCAACAGTGTGCCCTTGTTAACAAGAAGGCTAATGGCATTTTGGGCTGCATTAGTAGGAGCATTGCCAGGAGATTGAGGGAATTGATTATTCCCCTCTATTCAGCACTGGTGAGGCCACATCTGGAGTATTGTGTACAGTTTTGGGCCCCCCACTACAGAAAGGATGTGGACAAATCGGAGAGAGTCCAGTGGAGGGCAACGAAAATTATCAGGGGGCTGGGGCACATGACTTATGAGGAGAGGCTGAGGGAACTGGGCTTATTTAGTCTGCAGAAGAGAAGAGTGAGGAGAGATTTGATAGCAGCCTTCAACTACCTGAAGGGGGGTTCCAAAGAGGATGGAGCTAGGCTGTTCTCAGTGGTGGCAGATGACCGAACAAGGAGTAATGGTCTCAAGTTGCAGTGGGGGAGGTCTAGGTTGGATATTAGGGAAAAACTATTTCACTAGGAAGGTAGTGAAGCACTGGAATGGGTTACCTAGGAAAGTAGTGGAATCTCCATCCCTAGAGGTTTTTAAGGCCTGGCTTGACAAAGCCCTGGCTGGGATGATTTAGTTGGGGTTGGTCCTGCTTTGTGCAGGGCGTTGGACTAGATGACCTCCTGAGGTCTCTTCCAACCCTAATCTTCTATGATTTCACCAGAAGCAGTTAGTCTGTAGAAATGAGCACTATATAAGGACCCAATTCAGAAGTCCTTACTCAGACAAAAATGAAGATTACTTACCTGTAACCAGAGTTCAAGATCATTCTGAATAGTCACACTTGTGGGATACTGCACCACCTTGTGGTGCCTTGCAGTAGAACTCTCTTCCAGGAGCATCAGCTAAAGCAGGGTTTATTTCGGGTACCGTCAGAGCTGGGCTGACAAGTCCAGGTAGGCCAAATTTGAATGAGTGGCACTGCATTCCCATGAGCCAGGTCACAACAACTCCACTCACACAGAGGAACTGGCTCTTTGACTGGAGAATGGAGACAAAGAAGCCCTTTTAAGAATCTTGTTACCTTGACACTGGAAAAAAGTGATCTTCCATGAATGGGGGGATGAAATGCTGAAAATCGCCACTAGGAGCACACTCATTGAGCTAAAGGCCCGATGACTGAAGATGCAGCAAGTACTCCAAGATGTCCTGGATAGAGGTCAGCATCAGCTGAACTCTGCAGGCCAATCCATTTTGCCGAATAGGTGATTCTGGTAGAGGGCTTTCTGCTTTTGAGTAGTACCTGTTGAATGCCCACTGATAACACACTTCCTCCTCATTCAACCAAGCAACCACCCGGTGAGATGCAGGGAGCTGAATGCAAGATGCAAGGTGCAACCGTGATTCTACATGAGGTCTGGATGGCGAGGAAGGGATATCGGAGGCTGAACTGATAGCGTGAGAAGGTCAGAACCAATACTGCCTCAGTCACGTCTGGGGAATGAGGTAAGCTTGTCTCGATCCACTTTCAGCTTTGGAGGAATTTTCAGCTTCAGAACTGGAGGAAAAGGGTACAGAAGAACTGACTGCCACCTGAGATGGAAGGTGTTGGTCAGGGAGTCTGGACTGAGCAGGACAGCCTTTCTTGTTGTCCCTTGTAGCAAACAGGTCGATCCTCAGAATACCCCACGCTGCAAAGATGACCTGCAAGACTCTCCTCTTTGGGGACCACTCGTGATTCAGGGAACAATTCTTGCAAGATGATTTTGGGCCCCAGACAAGTGATCAGCCGTCAGGGTGATACTCTCCTCAAGGCAGAACTCACACAACCTGATCGCCTCTTGGCAGAGCATCCTGAAGTGAGTCACCCCTGGCCTGTTCACATAATATATTGGAGTGATATTGTTGGTATTAAGTATGTGAACAACTCAGCCCCTGATGTGGTTCAGAGAGGCCAGGCAAGCCTCATAGATGGCCTGAAACTCCATTTATGTTAATATGCAGTGAGGACTCCTGTTCAGACCATAGATCCTGAACTTTCAGCAACCCCAGATGTGCTCCCCAGCCCATCAGGGAGATGTCAGTGACCAAAAGGCAGCACCATGTACTGAAAATGGCACTTCGCCACAATGAATTGGAGGAATTTTTTGTGGCTCAGCAAAATCGCCACATGAAAACAGGCATTCTGAAGGTCCAGGGCACCAAAACAGTCATTCTGAGACAATGGGGGAGGTCAGTTGATAGGGTGACCATTCAGAACCTCACGTACCTGATATATTTGTTGAGGTTGTGAAGGCCAAGAATGGGTCTTACCCCCCCTTTGGATTTGGGAACCAGAAAGTACTGGGAATAGTCGCCCTGAAGCCAGTGTTCTGGAGGAACATCCTCCACCAAAGTCAGTAGAGAGTGACCTGCTCGAGGAGTATCTTGTGAGGGGGTCCCTGAAGAGGGATGGAGAGGGAAAGTGGGAATGAGGAGTGGAGAGGAACTGGATAGCATAGCCTGATCTGATAATGCTTAAGACGCAGCTGTTGGTTGTGATCGAGTCCCATAAAAGCAAGCCAACCTGTCTCTGAACAGAAGTGGTGTAAAGAGTGATGACTGGACCACTGCTCTGAATAAAGGAGTCAAAATGGGCACTCAGAAGATACTGTGGGAAGGTGTGTTGATTGGCCAAACCCCGACTAAAATGCCTCCTACTCTGGGACCTATGTATCTTTCTGGGTTCCCGCTGACTTGCAGGAGGAAAAGGCTGTCCAAAGATGTATTGCGGACAGTACTGCTACTGCTATTGGCCACCATGTGGTGCCTTTGCACTGTCAGTATATACACTCCCAAAGGACGTAAGGCAGCCTAGAATCCTTGAAGGAATGCAGCCGAGACTCTGCATTGTCTGAAAATAGCATCCAGCCTTCAAAGAGCAAATCCTCTATAGCACGGTGCATATCAGGAGCAATGCCTGATTTCTGCCACCAGGGTGCCTTCTTCATGGTCCCCATAGAGGCCATAACTCTGGCCAAAGTGTCCACAATGTCTTGTGCAGATTGCAATAATGTCTTGGAGTGGACTTAAATTTGCCTTGCTGGGCTCTATCATTCATCATGATTACAATCAGAGAATTTGGGACCAGATGGGAGTAAAAGCCTTCAAATCCCTGCACCAGGACAAAACAGCATTTCCTCCACATGCTTCGCAGTATATGGTACTGAAGCCAACATGCTACAAAGAACCTTTGAAGGCTCTAGGAGCCCATCATTAATAGAAAGGGACATTCTCCCAGGAGCTGATAGTTGCAGGACATCCAACAACTTATGGGTATTCTCCTTCAGAAACTCTGTCTGAATGCCCACAGACATGCTGCAACAGGTCCTGGTAGGCCTTGGAATCCTCAGGCACTGAAAGAGAGGAAGAATTGGGCACTGCTGAATCATCTGGGGACGACGAAGAGGTGGTTAACTGGGCCAAAGCCCAATCTTGCTCCTCGACAGTTGGAAGTGGAAAGGACAACTCCATCGGCCGCACAGGGGGAAGACTCACTGTTGCCTTAGCCTGCGGTGGATCATCAGTCCCCACCACTGACCTGCCTGATGATCTCACCTTAGAACAAGATGAAGAGTGCAAACTCTGTGACAGATTCCATAGAGGTCACTGGGCATAAGGACAGCATTGGTGACCAGTAGGCGCCAGGCCAGGGCCCCCCCGTCCTGACTGCAAGATGAATGCTAATCTTGATATCCAGGGTGCTCCATAAATGGCCCCCGATGTGAGCCAGGTGATGGAGAGTGGGAGGAGGAAGATCCCGATCTCGACACCGAGGAGCCTCGGGTTTCCGGGGATAAAGGTGGAGCTAGTCCTGAGGGGACGAGTAAAGAATCTGATTTATCCATTGCCCAGAATGAACGAGGGACTGGCACCAATGGTGGAAACAGTAGCGCCGGCACTCACTATGCCCCCCATTTTTCCCGGAGCCAGGTACCGAAGTAGCTAACAGTGCCAAAGTGGAGAGCAGTGAGCTGCCATGGTAACATCGGCAGAGCTGAATGCAATGGTGCCTTGGAGTTTCCCAGGGCCAAGGAAGTCCCTTATGCCAAGGCCAACACCCATCCCACTTCTGCAAATTGCGGAAGGAGAACACTGGGGTGTGGTGCAGACAGACCCAAGGGTTCAGCAGCCCACCCAGCCAATGTCACTATAAATGATGTAGCCCTCGCAAAGTCCTGGACCAACAGGTGTTGGGATGGAAAAACAGTGGAGGTCCATTGCTGCCAGCGTGGAAACAGCTGGTGCTGGCATCACCATCATTGGTACCAGACTCAACAGACGTCCAGGGCCAAAACTGGAGTTGATGATGAAGGGTCTCTGACAACCCTGAGTAGTACTGGAGAGTGTTAGAGGCACCTGTGCCATCCCATGCGACAGCGCTAGCACTGTGCCGGTCCATGTTCTCTCTGGAGGAGAGAAAAGTCCCTGTGAGAACTGGAGTGGTCTCAACTGGTCTTATGTAACCTTTTCCTTGGTGCACTCGACAGGGAACAGCTCCTCCGTCTCTTAAGAGAGTCACCAGCCCTAGAGCACAAAACAACAGCTCTCTCAGAACTCAAGGGCGACCTCTGAAGTGACAAGGACCTTGGTGCTGAAGCAGGCTGAATCACCTGTTCAAGCAGGTGCTGCTTTAGGTGAAGGTCCCTAGCCACCTGAGTCCGTTGTGTGAACAATCTACAAATCGAACACTGCTCCTTGATGTGGGCCTCACCCAAGCACAGCAAACACCACACGGGGGATCTTTGTCTCCCCCACGATGGACAATGTTTAAACCATGGTGAGGTAAATACTTATGTAAGTCTAACACTAAATCTAACTAATACTAAGGGTACTAACTAAATTATATACAACTAGAAAAAACACTAAGAGAGAGAGAGAGATTGTGAAGAACCACACAGATCTCTGACTCTAGCCACAGGCGATGAGAAGGAACTAAGGAGGGTTGAGGTGGCGCTCCCTCAGATAGCCAGTGGTAGGGCAATGAGCATGAGATGCAAGTGCCACCTCCTAGGGGTACAGCTCGGCAAAATTCTCCAGCTCTGGTGCACTGGGCGTACACACGCATAAATGGAATACACGGCTGCATCTACTCAAAGAACAACATGTCACTCCTTCCTCCATCTAAAACCATTAGCCTATTGACTAATAATGTCATGTCCATCTGTTATTTGTACTGCAATAGCTTTTGGGAACACTATTCAAGAATCAGGGGCCCACTATGCTAGGTGCTGTGAAGAAACAGTCCCCCTCCTGAACAGCTCTCAGGTAGGTTCTTGTTATCCAATTCCCACAATCTTTTTATACCACAACCCCAATTCCTTTGTGGCTGCAGAGGACTGTTTGACTGGAATCAAGGAAAGTAACCTTGACTGGTTTGGGTGGAGGTGCTGTTTGAGAGATGCCTGATGGCAGTAGTTTCTGGTGGTGGGTGGGTGGGTGCTCTGTGCTAGATGGGTTGAAGTGGCACCTGGTAAAGGAGTGAGGGGGCGAGGAGGCAGCAGCTGAGGACTGCTGGCCAAGTGGAATTAAGGGTGGTGTTTTAGCTCCTACTCTCTACCCTGACATCACAGTCCGCTACAAGAAAATGCCACTTAACTATGGTGAAAAACTAGCTGAATTCTGTGACTGGCAGGGTCCAGGTTGCCAGCTCCTTTTCATCTTCAAATATTGCTTCATTGGAGAAGAGCTTTGTGTGTGCAGACTGGGGAGAACGTAAAAAAAATAATAGCTTTACATGGGACTCAGCAGTAGGGAGTAGAGCTTTTCATTACATCCTCTTAATACACTGCCCCTGGATCTAGCATTCACCATGTTTTGGCAATTTGCTATGACACCCCCCTCATCAGACTATCTAATGGCAGTAGCTGGAGGTCCTGACCCCGTTTGATAGAAATTATATTTCTATTTTAACAGTACATTATAGATATCGGATTCATAATGACCTTTTCATTAATCAAGCCATATACCAGATAGTCAATCTTCCTTAGAATATCAAAATGTTAACATAAAAAATAAAGACATAAAACAAAATAAATCCTCACCTCCAACTCCTTTTCATCAAAATACTGTAGCCACTGAAGGGGAACAACTTCATTAAAACCATCAAGGAAAGCTTTGGTTTGTTCTCTTACTCCCCGAGAAAAACGCCATTCTGCCATTAGGCTGGAAAAAAAGAAATTTTAGAGAAAAGAATTAATGTGTTGGGAAGGTTACCCCTTTTATACATATTAGGGTCTGATTCTACTCTCTTTTACACTGGTGCAACTCCACAAACTACAATGGCGTTACTACTGATTTAAACCAGTATAGAGCAGAATCAGGTCCACAATGTTGTAAACACTAACTTCAGAACAGTATCTTGATCTTGAGTTCCTTTCCCTATCCAGAGTTATACTCTTTATTACTGCTAGTCTGCAATCTGAACTATCAATTTTTCAAGTGCTGTGATGCCATCCTTCAGGATGAAAACTCTTAATTGAAAGGAACACTATCAATCTGTTTAGGAACAACATTTGAGCTACATCAAAATTACTATAATCTTGGTGTGCAGATGGTCTCCATTAATTCTGAAAAAATACTTGCCCCTCCAAAAAAGTATTATAGGCAGATCTGATCGTTCCCCAGAAGTTCAGCCTGCCCAACACTTCCCATTATAAGACCCTGTTTTCAGTTGCTTTTAACTTAGTCAAACTGCAGACATCTTCCATTCAGGATGTCTGCCTCATGCTGTTTTATTTTTGTGCGGGGTTGGGGGGGAGGGGGAAAGGAGGAGGAGGAGGAGACGAGATTTCAGCTGAAATAGTCTATCTTTTCTAAATGCAAAGATTAGGGGAAAATACATTGTTTAGCAAATGTTAATAAAAAAAACATACAATCATTTAACTAAGAAACTTCAAGCTTTGGAGCAGCGATTTTATATCTAGCAGGAGTGGGGGGAGGGGAATCATTCTAGTGTCAGAGGTGACTTTTGTTATCCCCAGGAAAATTTGCTAAATTAAGCCAAGTTAAGAACCTCAAAAAAAAATCTCAATTCACACATGCTCAGAGACTTGTTAGTTTGACAGACAAAAATCTCTGAAGACTGTCTGCCTGAATGTGCTCCAGAACTTCTAAGCTCCAATGTGCTGACTGACTACGCATATGTCATCCCCACAAAGCAACTCGCCATGCTCCAGCCCAGGTCTGCAGAACTGAGCACACAGGAACTGAGCAGGTGACACTGTGCTGTGCTCTTAGTGGTCCCCGTGTTGGCATCCAGGTAATGAGAGGGAGAATGAGGAACAGCTACATTGGAATGCACAATTTGGGGAGTAGGGGGGATGTATAGATGGACAGACAAGGAGAGAAGGAGCTGCAGGACCTGGGTGGCACAGCATCAGAGGAAGGAGAACACTAGCCTGTCGGGGGGAACAAATAGGGCAAATAGGTGTAGAGGAGGAAAGGGATGTTAGTTAAGGTAGGGGAGGTTTAATAGAAGCAGGTGGAAGAGGGCTTGGATAGGATCAGAGGGGGAAAAGGGCAAAAGCTTGGGTGGGTAGCTAAGAATAGAGGGACAGAGACAGGAAGGGGTTACAGGGGCAGAAGAGCCTACAAATAGGGCTCTGTGTTTGTCACAGAGATTGTGGAAGTCATGGATTCTGTGACGTTCTGTGACCTCCGTGACTTCTGCAGAGGCCAATGTGGCTGACCCCAGGGCCACCCAATCAGCTGGCTCCGAGGCCTGCTGCTCAGGTGGCCCTGGGGACAGCCACACCAGTCGCTGCTGGAGTGGCTCTGCAGCAAGCTGCTAGGGCAGCCCCAGGGCCAGTCACACCAGCTGCTACTTAGGTCCCGCTGGCCCCCCGGGTTGCCCCACCCCCCGGCAGCAGGTCCCCCAGATTGTCCGCCCCCAAGATTTAGTCAGGGGTATTTATAGTATAAGTCATGGACAGGTCACAGGCCGTGATTTTTTGTTTTTTGCCTGTGATCTGTCTGTGACTTTTACTAAAAATACCCGGGACTAACCCATAGCCTTACCTGTAATCACTGAAGCATATTGCTCTATTAAACCTGGATTTGAATCCAGGAGTGCTCAAGTCTTTACATTTCTTTACTGTCAGAGAACAGCTGTGAACCCATTGTCAAAATGTCTCTCTCCCCCCTACACACACACTTGAATTTGAAACCCTAAAATGTTTTTAAACTTGTATACAGTTCATATTATACACCCAGACACTCTATACACTACTCAGGTCATGAGTACCTAGGAAATTAAAAACAAAACAAAAAATATGCTATTTGGTAAGATATACACAGTTATCATGTGTGAACTCTCCATTCAGTAAAGCTCTCCAAGACTGTATAAGGAAGAAGGGGGAGAAAGCAAACAGGTTGGCTTCTGCTTCTTAAATATGTAGGGAAAAATATTCATAAATTTGCCAAATAAAGACTGACTAAAGCAACAGAAGAAAATTAAAAAATATTTGGCATTCTTTTAAACTCCTGTAATTGCCTACCCAATGTATTCTTCTTTGTTGTCCTCAGTTACCAAGATATTTGAGCCTCCTGATTTCAGTTCATGAGAAGTAACTTTTCCCAAAATTTCCATGTCAACACAAAAGTACATTTCTAAATTACACTCTTCAATGTTGTTGTCCCTGTGGAAAGAAACAAGCAAAAGAAAAATCAAACAAATATAAACATTTAACTATTTTTTAAAACTATAAACATCTGAAAAAAATCTACAAACCTTATCCAAATTAGGGAATTATAAAATTCAGTATCAATAGATTCCAAATCTTTAATAGTAAGTTTCTTACTTAGCATGCGCTTGTAGAATGGCAGAGAAAAACCCGTGTCAATAAATTTGCCATGAAACAATGCCTGTAGAGGGGAGGAAGAAAAAAGTTTAAATGACAATTTCTTCAACTCATTTTTGCATGGCTCAAGTAATCTTTGGGAAAAGAAGTTATGAAAATAGCAGATGAAAAAAAATTGTCCACCAAGAGTAGCACTTAGATGTCTCAAAAAACCGCAACAGAAACAAAACAAAACAACCCCCGCCCCATAAAATGGCAAGTATAAAGAAACGAATATAAATTTTTGATAGATATTTGGTTTGGCAATGATTCTTTATAATTACATAAGTTGTAAATTCTTAGGTATATTATTTTCCTATGTAACAGTAAGCCTGACAGAAAACATCTAACATGTCTTCCTAAGCTGTATTGGCATGTGTGCTTAAAAGCAATGGTCACTTGATGCTCCTAACGTACTACTGCTCTATCTAGAAAAAAAAAAAATTAGTATTACAGCATGTAAAAAAGATTTTTAAAAGTCAATCATTGAAATACTTCTGGAAGAGATTCCTCATGGGTCAATTAAATAGACTTTGGAAATGTGACCCTTTGATTGAAATATTTTTACTGTCATCCCTATTTTCTGAGTGTGTGCGCAGGCATATGCATATGCACGCACACAGGATCTGTTCTGGTTATTAATTTTATTTGTTCTTTACATAGCAGTAACACTAACTATGCGCCAAGCACTTGACAAACATAAAAGAACACAATCTCTCTTCTGTGAGACCCTTAGCTTTGCTCAGTTCTGATCCACTGCATTTTACTCACTAAGGGGATTAATTTCCCCCCTTTTAGATTAAAGTCTATGTTGTATGTCACTTTCTAGATATTTAATACTACTTTTTATTTTTAGTGAATTCTTTCCTATCTTATGTGTATAGTCTTTTTATAATAAAATCCCAAGTTGCATTGACCATCAATCTCATTTTTGTTCATTTCTCTGATCTTTGTTCTACAATAGGATTGTAAACTGCGTTTCTTTCAGAATGACTCTTACGTGAGGAGTGACCTTCAAAAATGGTATGCTCTACCGTTACCTCATTCAAAATCACTTCTAACAAACTACTTTTGCACCACAACCTACCAAGCCAGAAATGTTTAATTTCAGAAAAAAAAACCCCTAACAATTAAGTAGACTGCCATCTTGGATTAGTATCTATATATTACAGTTGGGACTGGTAGCGCTACCTATTAAGGTTGCCTCACATTTCCCACTATAAGACACTGTTTTCAGTTGCGTTTACTTTGTCAAGCAAGCACCTCACAGGCTGCTTACTTGGCTTTGTGTAGGTATGCATTGTTCAGATTTCTCAAGCAGCAGGATTGATCAAGAGTATCCACATTGTGGTCATCAGTGATTCCAAACCTTTATCTTTGGTTTGAACTTAGTTTGATTCTTGCACGCAAGATAATACACTCTGAATCAGAGTTGTTATGAGGAATTACAAGGATTGCTTTCATTACCCTAATCAGAACATTGTATGCTGTAGTTGGTCACATCTGGTGCACTTCAGAACATATAGTGGCATGTAGAGGGAGACAAACTGACAGGGAGCCCAATCCTGAAGAGTGGAGACTGAGATGGTGTGGGAAATGAAAATGGGACTGGGACCAGGAGACAATGATAGGGAAAAGACAGAACAGGGACTTTAATGAGATGGGACAGACGGATTCCAGCATAGGGGGAGCGTACACATAGGTCTGTGACTACTAGGACTTACTCCCCTTCACAGCCTAGAATGGAAGCCAAGTTTTTTGAGTCTCACCATTCCTCTGCTGTCAGCAAATACTTGTGAATTCTACTGGCACATATCTCTCTCTCTAATGCATTCCATGTAGAGGATGATAACCTACTATTGCTATCAGTTATACCATTAGCTCAAGTAGCAGAGGTCTTTACGGTGAACCTAAAGATTCCAGATTTGCTGATGACTCATGCAGGTGTCAGTATGATGCCAGATGGAATTTGCTTTTTTGAAAATCTATGAAATTACACAACCACCGCTGCCAGCTAAAAAAATCATCTTATGTTGAAACAACATTAAGGTTGCAAAGTCAAGCCCTCAAAATTTAGGAAATGACAGTTAAGATTGCCTGTGCAAACTTAATTCAGCCATATGTACTATGACACAGTTTTTAAAAACACATATTACGTTTTTCCACAGCATCCCTGCCTCATTTACGGAATGGGTAGTTATTCAATCATTCTTTTTACCCTTCACATGTGTTGCGTGGCCCTAAGCCTTATTTACCTAACGCTATCCAAACCATGTACGGAATATAGAATTGTTAATTTCCTCCAATATATTTTTATGGTGCCCTCACCAAAGTATCAGAGTGCTTCAAAGCACTAATGAACTTATCTACACAAAACCCGTGTGAAAGTAGATGATGATTTTCCCATTTTATGCCTAGAGAATTGAGGGACAGATGGATTAAAACCCAAATTGTCAAGCATGTCCACTAATTTTGGGTGCTTAACTTCAGACACCTAGAGCCCGATTTTTTTAAGAGTATGTTTTAAATATTCAAAGCAGAGCTCTACTTGACTTTAGTTGCTGTTGTGAGTGCTCAACATTTCTGCAAATCTGGTCCCAGATGTCTTGCACTTGACACCCAAAACATGAACACTACACTATTAGTGACCACCTGTGAAAATTCTGGTTTTAAGCAACTTTCCATCCATTACAAAGGAACTTTAGGACATAGTCAGGAGTAGAATCTGTTCTCCAGGGTGGCATTTAACTGCCTTCACCAGGAGACCACTGTGACATAGAGGTCCATTGGTACCAACTGGCAAAGGACTGATTGTTATTTACAAGCCTGTCTCAGACATGACAAATTCACTACACCTAATGAACTGCTTTCATGTATTTATTCATAAAGGGTAGCGTGTGAAAGCTTGTAACTTACTCATAATCATTGGGAGGTGTGTGTACAGGTCACATTTAAGGAATAATGTAACTACACTGAAAATTATGCCCATATGATCTTGGAGTGAAAGTGAATCACCAGGGAATAATGTGTCTTGATGATGGCCCATTTACGTAGAAGGGAGTTGTCATGACTCTCTGCCTAATCCATTATGTAACATATTGCTTCAATTGTCTACCTTTGCACCAACTCAGAAAAGTCAATGGAAAACCATCAAAGACAAAATATAGCAAGGGGATTGCTCTGTCTATGAATAAAGACAAAAGACTGATTTAATATACTACAGGGTGGAGAAAAAGACACTCTGGATCCATTCACTGAGGAAGTACCTTGATGATTGGGATTGCTTCGTGAAAGACTGCATCCTATCTCCTTCGGGTATCAAGCACTGCAAAAAACTGAACTTTGCAGTGAGAATCTACTTTAAGAGATAGAAAAGGTAACTATTAATAAGCATGGGCCCTAGTTCGCATTTTATGATTTTGTTTTATATGTAATCATCTGTTTACATCACTTGCACTTGTTTCTATTTGAAACTATTCTTTCCTAAATCAATTTTCTTTTGTTTGCTATCACTGAACTCAAGTGCTGTGTGTAATACAGGAGCAGTGGGGTAAAGCAAATCTGGTAAACTGGGGTACACTTCTTCCTTTGGGAACAAAGGATCTGGGATTTCTTTGGGTATCCAGTAATCAGTGGCTGGATACCACAGGGTGACACTGTGAAGGGACTCTGGGCTTAAGCAAAGGCAGGGCTGGTATAGCCCAGAGAAGAGTACTGAGTGGCTGACAGGCTGCTTGCTTTAGGGAGCTAACACCCAGCTAGTACAAACAGGACTCCCTCACGCTGGAGGTAGGTGGCAACAAGGTAATTCACAGCGCTAAAAGCTTCAAGAAGCATCACCATCATCTTTTCTTTTCCTGAAATTCCCTATCTTCAAACTTCTGCAGCAAATGAATCAGGGTCCTACAGACAACAGCCTCATTCACTATACAACCCTGATTCAGCCCCACAGCACTGTCCCACCCTCTGTCCTGAATGAGGCAAGGATCATGTAGAAAAAAAGTAGCATGTGATCATGTAATTATAATACATACGTACAAGGGTACTGAATTAGACATTTTAAAATCAGCAGGTCTGGATAATTTGCATCAAAAAGTTTTAAATGAGCTGGCTGAAGAGCTTGCTGGATCACAAATGCTAGCTTTCAATAAGTCTTGGAACACTGGATACATTCCAGAAGACTGGAAGAAAGCTAAAGTTGTGCAACTATTTAAAAAGAGTAAATGGGATTACCTGGATAATTATATGCCTCTCAGTCTGACAATGAACCTGAGCAAGATAATGAAGCAGCTGATACCTGACTTGATTAATAAAGAATTCAAAGAGGGCAAATATAATTAATGCCATCAACCTAGGTCTATGGAAAACAGATTGTGTCAAACTAACTTGATTTTTTAAAAATAAGATTACAAGTTTAGCTGATAAAGGTAATAGAGTTGATGCAATATACTTAGATTCCTGTAAAGCATTTGACTTGGTACCACATAACCATTTAATTAAAAAACTAGAATGATAGAAAATTAATATGGCACACATTTAATGGATTAAAAGCTGGCTAAGTGATCTCAAAGTGTAATTGTAAATGAGCAATCATTGAACCGGTGTGTTCCTGGTGAGATCCAACTGTGCTTGGTCTTATGCTATTTGACATAGTTATCAATGACCTGGAAGAAAAAATTACTACTGATAAAATTTGCAGATGACATAAAAATTGGGAGAGTGGGAAAGAATGAGGACAGGCCACTAATACAGAGTACTCTGGATCGCTTGGTAAGTGGGGAGTAAACAAGTAATATATATTTTAATACTGCCAAATGTAAATGTATACATCTAGGAACAAAGAATATAGACCATATTTACAGGATGAGGGACTCTATTCTGGGAAGCACTGACTGAAAAAGATTTGTGGGCTCTGGTTGATAATCAGCTGAACACGCGCTCCTGTGGCTAAAAGGGTTAATGTGATCCTTGGATGAATAAACAGGAGAATCACAAGTAGGAGTAGAGAGATTATTTTAGCTCTATATTGGCACTACTGGAATACTGTGTCCAGTTCTGATGTCCACAATTCAAGAAGGATGTTGATAAATTGAAGAGGGTTCAGAGAAGAGCCATGAGAGTGATTAAATGTTTAGAAAGCCTCCACTATAGTGATAAACACAAGGAGCTCAATTATTTATCTTAACAACAAGAAGATTAAGTGTTGACTTGATTAAAGCCTTTAAGTATCTACATGGTGAATAAATATTTAAACTATGGGCTCTTCAGTCTAGCAGACAAAGGTATAACACAATTCAATGGCTGGAAGTTGAAGCTAGATAAATTCAGACTGGAAATATGGCACACATTTTTAATAGTGAGGGTAATTAACCACTGGAACAATTTATCACAGGTCGTGATGGATTCTCCAACAGTAGCAATTTTTAAATCAAGATAGGCTTTAAACATTATTTTGGGGAAGTGCTATGGCTGTGCTACACAGAAGGTCAGATCACATGATCACAATCGTCCCATCTTGCCTTGGAATCTATGAAACCATGAAAACTAAGGTTGCACAGCCAATCTTAATTTTCACATTTTCTAATTTTTTTGAATGCTTGACTCTGCAACCATAACATTTTACTAGTGTTTTTGGATGGAATTTAAAAAAAAAAAAAAAACACCCTAAACTAAAAAGAACACAACAAAAATTCTTTCATGTGGAATCATATTAAGCTCCATGTCAGTTCACCAGTTGGGTTCAGACCTGTAGATCAATAGCAGACCTCTACTGCTTGAGCTAAAGGAATAAACAGCAGCTGCTTACTACTACATGGACCGATACACACAGTTTGCCTGAGGGTTTCCCAGGTATTTGCTAATAGCAAGGAAATGTATGACTCAGGACTCTTGGTTCAGTTCAAGGATCTGTAGGGCATTGCATCTAGTATTATAGAGCCTTCCTCCCATGTGCTCCACCCTGTTCTTCCCAGAAGAAGGCATGATGGTGATGTGGAAAGGAGGGCATGTCAATAGAGGAAGGGAAGGAGCATGGCAGAGTAGAACTCCATTACAGCCAAATTTTCAGACATTAGGTGCATAAGGGACCTTATGCCAGCAGCATATGTTAAAATGACCCTTTTAATTTAAGGAGGGTGTGGGTGACTGAGAATCAAGGAATGGTGTGATCAACTCCCTGTCATCCTCCATTACACCTAAGCTCCGTCCAGGTTCAGTGAGAATCAAGCTCGAGATGATTTACAGTGTACAGTAAACAATATTTCAGTAGTTTTTGACTAGTCTTTTGTAAAAATTAAATTAATGTATACTTTTGCTGTAGCCTACATAGTTTGGAGAGTCTTCCTATGAAGATTGTGGATAGATTTTCAAGAAGATACTAATTTAGACAGCCAAATGAGGTATATGAAAAAAATCAAATCAACGTTCTGTATCAAGTACCTGTATCAAACTTAGACTAACATTTTGACACTTCTTTTCTGCTCACAAACTTTATCATCCTCCTCAGGAATCTTATGAATGTAAGAGACTTCTATTGTTAATGAATTATCCTGGATAAACTGCCGTACATACTTAAATCTCCTATTTAGCAAGAGCTGAACTAATCTTGGGGAAAAAATGTAAGCAGGTAAATATATTTTATTGTTTCTGTAACATATTTAAAACTAACCATAACAACAAAAAATTAACACTTTTAGAATTCAACTTACCATAGCAATAAAGCGCCCAATGAAACAGAAATATGAAAGATGATCTGGATTAATTGTTGATGCTGGATTTATCTGCAGACAGTAGTTGCTCTTGCCAGCATACTCAAATAGACAGTACATAGGGTTTAGAACTTCATGGGAAAGCAAGAAAAACCATTCTCTAAACAAAACAAAACACAGAGATAATCTATAACAAATACAGATTTTTATCACAGCTTCCTACAAATGGATGAGCAAAATAGTTTAAACATGGGTAAACCAACAAAAATATTGTTCACACAACTGTGAAAGAAAGAACATGATACATGGCATTGTATATGTACTACAAAAAAAAAAAAAAAAGCAATAAAAAAATTAAGTCTAGAAAGTCAAGTTCTCAAAAGGTAGGAAATGTCAGAATTAAAGTTCCTGTGCAGCCTTAACTCAGCTCACTTCTGAGTCTGCATTATGATATAATCTTTAACTATATGACTACATATTATATTTTGTCCCCACAGGACCGTTGCCTCAATCAGCGCACAGGATAGACGGTGTTCATCAAATGAGCAAGTATTCAATACTTCATTTTTCCTCATCATTCAACGTGTGGCCCCATGCCTTATTTACTGCACACCATTCCCACCCTATGCTGAAGAGGAATAAGACACACACTTTGCCTGTGAGTTTCACAGCTATTGAGACTCAGGAAACCTCAGTTGTATTCCATGCTTTAGAAGGGTGTGTAGGGTTACAGACCTTTTTGCCCGTCCCTTCTGTTCCTTTCTGCCCTGCTCCTATCAACTCCCAGCCTGTTGCTCTAATTCCTCTGCTCCTAATCTCCATGCATTTAAGTAGTGCTGCTTCTTCTTCTTCCTCCTCCTCCATATTGCCTGAATATATGCAGCAAGTGGAGCACTGAGAGCACAAGCAAAACACATTCTGTTCTCATTTAAGGGTCCTGGCATCATAGTAGCACCCAGCTGTCAGGACAAGGAATTGCAGGGAAAAGAGAGGTTACTCACCTTGTGCAGTAACTAGAGTTCTTTAAAATATGTGTCTGTGGTTGTTCCACTTTAGGGACACGTGCCCCTGGGCCTCTGATTAGAGATTTTTAGTAGCAGTGCCCGTTCTGGTCACACACGCGCCCTGCACATCCTTGTGCCCTGTACCAAGTCTATATAGGGCTACAAGGGCAAACTGCCCTCAGTTCCTTCTCTACCGCAAAACCCACAGAGGCAGTTCTGAAGCAGGGGAGGAGGGTGGGTTGCAGAGCACCCACAGGGATACACATCTCAAAGAACTCCAGTTACTGCACAAGTTGAATCACTGCTCCTTGTTTGAGTAGTGTCCCTGTGGGTACTCCACTTTAGGTGACTTCTTAGCAGTAACCCTTTAAGGAGGTGGGAGTTTTGGAACAGAGTCTATCACTGAAGAAAGAACTGCATTGCCTACTGCATCTGATCTTGCAGCATAAATTAGGGCATAGTGGTCAGAAAATGTGTGCACAAAGGACCATGTTGCTGCCCTGCAGATTTCAGTAACTGGAACGTCTTTGAATATAGATACAGATATAGCAGTAGAGTATCCAGTCACTCTTAGGAGATATGTAACGTCAGTGAAACCATAGTAGGCAATAATATTCAGAGAGCTACTTAAAAAGACTGAGGGAGATAGGTTTAAAGGAGTGCTTATCTGCAGTAGAAACAACGTCTAGGGGTTTTCCTAAATGGTCTTGTCCTGTCCAAATAAAAGGTTAAGACCCTCTTAACATCTAGTATATGAAAAGCAGACATTTGTGAAAACTGATGTGGCTTTGGAAAAATAAACAAAAGGTGAATAGTTTGGCTGACGTAAATTTCAGAGTACACTCTAGCTAAGAACTTAGGATGAAGTCATAAAGACACTTTCTCCTTGGAGAACAAAGTAAAGGGAAGATCTGCCATTTAGAGCCCTTTAAGTAGAAGTGATTGTCCCCAAGAAGGCCATCTTCATAGACAGAAGTAGCAGTGAACACATAACTAATGGCTTAGACAGTTGTTCTGTGAGATAGTTAAGACCCAGGTTAAGATCCCAAAGCCACATAGGGGGTATACAATCTGCGGTAAAATCCTTCTAGGAATCTTGTTGTCATCAGATAAGAACAAAAAACAAAAAGGGTCAGGAAAAAAAAGGATCAGACCAAAGGTCCATCTAGCCCAGCATCCTGTTTTCCAACAGTGGCCAATGCCAGGAGCTCCAGAGGGAATGAACAGAACAGGTAATCATCAAGTGATCCATCCCCTGTCGCCCATTCCCAGCTTCTGGCAAACAGAAGTTAGGGACACCATCCCTGCCCATCCTGGCTAATAGCCATTAATGAACCCATCCTCAATGAATTTATCTAGTTCTTTTTTGAACCATGTTGTAGACTTGACTTTCACAACATCCTCTGGCAAAGAGTTCCAGGGGTTGACTGTGCATTGTGTGAAGAAATACTTCCTTTTGTTTGTTTTAAACCTGATGCCTACTAATTTCATTTGGTGGCCCCTAGTTCTTGTGTTATGAGAAGGAGTAAACAACACTTCCTTATTTACTTTCTCCACACTGGTCATGATTTTATAGATCTCTATTGTATCGCCCCTTAGTCGTCTATTTTCCATGATGAAAAGTCCCAATTTTATTAATCTCTCCTCATATGAAAGCAGTTCCATACCCCTAATCATTTTTGTTGCTCTTTTCTGAACCTTTTCCAATTCCAATACATCTTTTTTGAGATGGGGTGACCACATCTGCACACAGTATTCAAGATGTGGGCGTACCATAGATTTATATAGAGGCAATATGATATTTTCTGTTACCTAGCTATATTATCTATCCCTTTCTAATGAGCAAACACCAAGAAATATTCTACTGGCACACAGAAAGCTGTTATTGCCACTAAAGAAACCCTAATAGAAATCATAGAAAAGCCTGAATTTTTCAATTCCAACAGGTAATCCAAGACTGAGGAAAGAGATGACTGGATCGGAGAAAGGGCGCCAGTTACACCAAAGGTTATATCGTCCTCAGAACATAAGAACGGCCATACTGGGTCAGACCAAAGGTCCATCCAGCCCAGCATCCTGTCCACCTACAGAGTCAATGTCAGATGCCCCAGAGGGAGTAAACTTTACAGGTAATGATCAAATGATCTCTCTCCTGCCATCCTTCTCTACCCTCTGAGAGACAGAGGCTAGGGACACCATTCCTTATTTCATTTCTGAAGGTATGTTTACTAGATTCCTTTCTGTTATTTAACAGTATCTCTTGTACTTCTCATGAATATGTTGTGTCTATTCCAGAGAACCATTCAGAACTAAACTTGTAGTTATAGGACATTCAGATTGGGGTGAAGCATTTGATACACATCCTGAGAGAACAATCGAGATCTGATCGGAGCCGCCATGGAGGACAAGAGGTGAGTTTAATGAGGTAAGGTTTAATGTCAAGTTGGTGCAATCAATCTCACTTTGGCTTGGTCCTTTCTAATCTTGATAAAGACCTTAAAGAGCAATGGAGCTGGAGAATATGCATAGAAGAGATCCCTTGTCCATGTAATGAGGAAAGCACCTCCTAGAGATTAGGGATCAAGCCCACCTCAGGACCAAAACTTCCTGCAGTTTGTGTTGGTTGCTGTGGCAAAAAGGTCGATCTCTGGAAATCCCCAAGTTCTGAATATTTTGTTGAGGACTCAGGAATCCAACTCCCATTTATAGTTTAGGGAGAGATGTCTGCTCAGGTCATCTGCCATGGTGTTTTGTCCATCTAGGAGGTAAGAAGCTAAGATGACTATCTGATTAGCTATGCACCAGTTCCAAAGCTTTATCACTTCAGTGCAATGAGGTGAAAAGCGCTCCACCACCACAACAGATATAATACATGTACGCTATGTTATTTGTCATGATCTTGATGGACTTGTTTTTGAGTAGGAGAAGAAAGTGGAGGCAAGCATTTCTGACTGCACTTAATTCCAACAGTTTGATGTGCCAGTGCTGTTCCTCTTGTGACCATTTGCCTTGGACTGTGAGAGGACCTAAACATGCTCCCCATCCCAGGAGGGAAGCATCCTTTGTTAATATGACTGTATGGGGATTCTGTTAAAATGATTGTAGGATTCCTGCACAAACTTTAGATGGATTAATTCACCAGGTAAGTGACTGTAGGACCAGACTGGGTAAAATACCTGCTTGTTGAGACTATTTACTGGGTAGATAAACAATCCTGAGCCACCTCTGGAAACATTGAAGATACAACCTGGTGTTTTGTGTCACAAAAATGCAGCTCAGTCCTCAAGTTCCAGAAGCTGCAGACATGTCCTTGCTGGAACTTGAGGACTGAGCTGCACCTTTTGTATAAGGTTCTTCAGACGAATGAACCTGTCAAGAGGGAAATAAGTTCTGCCCATTATCAAATCCAGAAGCATTCCTATGAAGAAAATTTGTTGTATAGGGATCAAGATTGATTTCTCAAGAATTATCTGCAGGGCTAGACTTTGAAATAGTGAAGCTGTTGTTTGAACTGCCAACCATACTCCCAAAATGACTGCCCTTGAAGAGCCAGACGTCCAGGTACGGAAAGAGAGTTATTCCCAGACAACAGAGGGAGGTAGCTATGACCACCATGATTTCTGAGAATACCCTTGGGGCGGATGACAAGCCGAAAGGTAGGACCCAGTACTGATAACATTTGTGATTAAAATTGAAACAAAGAAATCTTTTGTGAGAAGGCTGAAGTCAGCATCTTTGAGGTTGAGGGTTGCAAACCAGTCTCCTAATTCCAGGGAGGATATTGTAGCTCATAGAGACACCATCTTGAATTTCAGATATCTGACATGCTTGTTCAGTTGTCTGAGAGCTAGCATCAGCATCCAACCCCTGTTTTCCCTGAACATCATAAAAAAAATTGTATAGATATTTTTCCCCTGTAATGTAGTGGGACTGGCTATATGACTCTTAGATTTAGGAATGATGAGATCTCCTGTGTCAGCAATTGCTCATGAGAGGGGTCCTGTGAGAAAAGGTTTGGCACAAGCGAAACAGTGCGTAGTGTACATACCGTCATCCGCAACAGGTACAAGTACCAAGTTTGTCTGGGCCATGTGGGGGCTATCAAGATGACTTTGGCCTTGTTGGTTCTTATTTTGTATATAACCCTCGACGGTAA